TTCCGTAAATAGATTTTCAAGAAATTTATGAAAAAATGTTTGAAAAATTTTAAGTGAATTTCAATATTTTTCCATTATTTCAATAAAGAATGCTTTATAAATTAAATCTAATTAATCAATCAATCAATCAACATTTATTGTCTATTGGGAATTACTTCCCTATTACAAGGGGTTGTAGAAACATGTATCCATATTTATTTTTAATAAAACTATACATTTTCTTTAATTTTTTAGTTTGCATTTATTTCTCGCGTACATATGCACATATTCTTTAATTTAATTTGTTTTGTTATTATAAGTTTCTACTATTTTACAAAAATAATTATAAATATTATATAATTCTTTTTTACTCATATTATTAAATTTTTTTAACAATTCTATTAGCGAGTTGCAATTATAAGAGCTGTTTATATTATAATGTGCACGAATTTCCTTTAACTTTGGACACGTTAATATTAAATGATAAGGTGTTAAAACGTCGACGTTACATAGAAAACATTTAGTTAATAAACTTATATAAGTATTATTGACATACAGCGAATTTTTGTTTAGACGAAGTTGCATTATAAGTCGTTTTATATTCAAATTTACTGGTTGCCATATATATGGTTGCATTGAAGGAATTTCAAATATTTCCAAGTACCACGGATGATATTTACTGTTGTATAGGGAATTCTGATCTTTAATTATAGATTGAGCTATAGCTGATTCTAACATCAATGAGTATCCTGATTTCCAATCTTGAATTTTGTCCTTGAATAATAGATCTGATACTCCAAAGGAGTTAAAAATAGTTTGCAACTTATTATACCATAGTTGTTTATTTTTTTGTAGTTTACTTTGTCTTATATTTTCTTGATATAAAGTAGTTAAATTGTTATCACCGTTGAAATTAAGTTTATAAAAAAATTTGATAATTCGCTTTAATATAAACGGAAATAACCATATTCGATTCGTTTCGTGACGTAGTGCATATCCTGGTACTGTTCTTTTTATGTGAAATAGTCTGTGTAGATAATATATGTGGAATTGTTCGAGATGGTAGATATAGTCCAAGCACCAAATAGGGCTAGCATAAAATAACATTGGATTAATGATCGAACTATAAAGTTTCATATGTATTCTTAAATCTGAAGTTTTTAATTTACTACATAAAAATAGAAGGTTGTCTATTGCTTGCTTAACTTTATTTTTAAGTTTAGATATATGCGATTTAAATGTTAGATTCCAATCGAAATTAACTCCTAGGTAATTTATTTCATTCACTGTCTGTAGCAAAATTTTTTCATGATAAATTTTTGTTTCGTTGATAGATATTTTACTGTTATTCCAAAAGATAATTATTTTAGTTTTACTAGGATTAATTGCTAAATATTTGGACTTAAAATACAGATTTATTTGATTTATTTTCCTTTGGAGTGAGATTTTTGTTGGCGCTATCACAACCAAATCATCCGCAAACAGTATATAATGAAATGCTTTCTTTCCTATAATTACTCCATCTTCTGCTTTAGAGAAAATATGATCTATATATGCCAGATAAAAGTTAAATAGATATGGAGATAATGGGTCACCTTGAAGAACACCACGTGAATGCCTTATTGGTGAAAGAATATTCTTATTTTGCTTAATCTTTATTTTGTAGTTTTGATATAATAATGATATTGTTTCTATAAATTGAGAACGCATCATTTTCCTTGAGTTTTTTTTTTTTTTTGAAGTAGTGGTACATATCCTGAATCGAAGGCCTTTGTTATATCTATAAAAGCAGCGTATATTTTTCTATGTTTTTTTAATAAATATATCTGAATAATCATCATTAAGGTAAATAATGCAGATTCTGTGCCTTTATTTTTTGTGTAAGCAAATTGAAATTCTGCTTCCAACTCATAAGTTTTAATCCACTGTTGAAATTTTATTGCCAGTATCAACGTAAAACATTTTCTGAGTGTAGATAACAGGGCTATGGTTGTTAGCTTTTAAAACCATCATGTACAGAAAAAACATGTTATGTGTTGTCAAAATGTTTCGAATCAAAGCATAACACATAACCTGTTATGCTTTGATTCATAATTTCCCATTACCTGTTTTTTACATTAATTCTAATTCAATTAATTAGGTAACTTCTATTAGCAATTTAGGCATAGTTTTTGACACCAAACTTACTTTCAAAAATTGCACTGATAAACTAGTTAAATCCTTGGATGTCAAATGTGGAATTTTATGGCAATTTTGTAAGCCAATCTTTAATAAAAAAGCATTTTTGATCATTTTTTATGATAATTTTCAATCTTGCATTAATTATGGATTGCCCATCTGGTCAATGGCTGCACCTTCCCTTTTACACAAGATTACTTCTGCTATTAATAAGATATTCCTCACATTTTCCAAAATGTGTAATCTGCCTTTTACTATTGACTCTAATATTGCTAGAATTTGCCTGTACTTCCCATATTTATTTGAGAGAATTAAATACAGTAGAGCATCGATTTTCCGAAAGTCAATCATCCGAAACGTCAATCATCTGAAAGAATTCCAGTCGGCAAATTTAAATTTTTGCCAGTGCTGTGGCGCTGCAATCTTTGGCTATGTCTTGGGCTACTCAAATATTTTACATTTTTGATACTAAATTAACTTCTGAAGTATAATTTTTTATTGTTTTTATATTTTTCAATATATTTATTTTGTTTGTATAAAATAAAAAAATAATTTTTAACGATACAATAGTCTTCGTTAGTCTTAACATTGACGAAAATTCAACACGAAGTGACACGCAAAGGAGAAAAATTTCAAAATGGGATAGGTTAATATATTTTTTCGTACATAATCGGTTATTCGAAATATTGATTTTCCGAACAACCCCAGTCCCCAATTGATTCAGATAATCGACGCTCTACTGTATTACAAATATTTTAATGGTCTTATTTATCAAAATTGGCTGACACAAGGAGAAAAACTCAGATAAAAGGCATTAGGGAATATTTATTCTTTAATGCCTTTTATGTGAGTTTTTCTCCTTGTATCAGTGTGTTTATGTTTCTTCAAATTCCATTGAGAAAACGTCACTCATTTACTTACATGTTTACTCCTTTTTATCATTTAAGTACCATGGACAATTTAGTAAATCTTGAAACATCTATATGCGAAGCGTTTGTTAGATGACAGCACTTAGTGTCTGTGTTTTTTGATATAGAGAAGGCCTATGATCGCTGTTGGCGAAACGAGATACTCCGTGATCTGCACCAACTCAGATTGCGGGGTAATTTGCCAATTTTTATAAAAAACTTCCTACAAAATCGAAGATTCCAAGTCAGGATGGGCAACACTTTAGGCTTTTTACACAAGAAGAAGGTGTTCCTCCAGTGTTCCTAATTAAAATTAACAGTATAGCTAAATAGCTAAGTCTCTTTCTTCTACAACACTCTCTGTACGTGGATGACTTTCAGATCTCCTGCTTCAGTCTAGTAACATGAGTTTCATTGAGAGACAACTGCAAACCTCCCTAAATCGCATAGACAATTGGTTCAAGACCAATGGTTTTACTTTTAACACAGAGAAGACCTCGTGCATCTACTTTTGTCGAAGGCGTGGTTTGCACCTGGATCCTGAAATTTACCTAAATGGGGTAAAAATCCCAATGGTGAATGAGGCTAAATTTTTGGGAGTTTTGTTTGACCAAAAACTGATATTCTTGCCACACTTGTGCAATTTGAAGAGTAGATGTCTAAAATCTCTGAACCTTTTAAAGGTACTATGCTGCTCATCCTGGGGAGCAGACAAATGTTTCATGCTCAGGATTTATGGGGCTCTATTTATGGATTATGGATGCGTTGTGTATGGCTCTGTGCCAGAATCTACTCTTCGGATGCTGGATCCAATCCACCATCAAGCATTGCATTTGTGCACTGGTGTGTTTCGAACTTCTCCTGCCCAAAGTTTGTACATTGATGCTTATGAGCCTCCACTATCCCTCAGGAGGGAACAGTTTTACTACCTTAAAATGAAATTTCATATCAAACCTTTCGTTTATTCTATAGTATCAGATACTCAGCTGAAAAGGTTATTTGCAGCTCGCCCAAGTAGTGTTCTTACATTCAATGTAAGAATGGAGAATGTAAGCTTCACAATTGACCTGGACACAAGCAACATTTCACAGCCTGAGATTGATAGTATATCACCTTGGTCAACTCCTGTGATAAATGTTGACCTTAGCTTAAAGCAGTTTCCTAAGGAATTCATCCCAGATTACATCTATAAACAGCACTTTGCAGAAATTCAACACCGTGACAGGAATTTAATTCCTGTTTATACTGATGGATATAAATCGGATGATTATGTTGGCTCAGCCTTTGTCTGCCAGGATGAAATCGTGGCAGTACAGATCGCACCGAATTCTTCCACCTTTACTGTAGTACTGCAGGCTGTTTACCTAGCCTTAATGTATGTAATCAGGAAAGGTTATTGTGGCTGTGTGATTTACACTGACTCAGTTAGTGCACTTCAGGCTTTGATCTCATGTGAACCTAGTTCTCACTTGATAATGATTAAAATTCATAAACTGTTTTGCCAACTTACTGCGAGTAATTTCTTTGTAAAATCTGTATGCTAATATTGCAACTGCTCTCTAAGTGTAAAATACATACTGTGTGATTGGAGGCCTTTGAGACGAGATGACAATGTTTTGGAAATGCAAGGCTGACAGAGGTTTTGGGCCAGAAGCCAAATCTTGACAATTTACTAGACTTTCTGAAAGTCACTAATATGTATAAAGAGATTTAATTATTTATTTACTTTTAACCTTCATATGTATTGTTGTTTGTTTATTTTCATTGTTGTATATACAAATTTTATATACAAATTGATCATTTGCCATGGTGCAGCTTAGTCTATATGGCCCTTGCACCATAAAACACTAACCAACCAACCAAATCTATCCTAATGATAATGATGCACTTGGAACCAAATTATGGTGTGATACAAAAAAACACCAAAAAAGACAAACGTTTTTGAACCTCTTCTGGGTTCTGCATCATGTTTTTAACCATTCCTAGATGGATATTCAATTATGGAATGACATTTAAATAAGAGTTCAATTATAAGTTTGAAAAAATTTACAAAAAACCATGTTGCGCGTTCACAACAAGTTGGCCTGCTCAGACACGGCAAGCAGCTAGAGCGAGTTGTAAATCAACTCCTGCCAGGCCATCAACAATTTTTAATGTTTTTTGTATCACATTGTAATTTGGTTTTGAGTGTGTCATTTTCATCAATTTGATGTGGTGAGTAGTTATCTATCCCAATGATCTTTCTTCTACTGTATATTGCAAAATCTTAATAATTTTGAATTTTTACATCTCGATCTTCCTGATTTTAAATTGAAATGTAAAAAAGCACTGTATCTGTTTTAAGATTACCTGTTTTTATTTTATTTTATTATTTTTTTGTTTTGTTTGTTTTTATTTTCAGGGATGTTATTTGTTTTTATGATATATGTTTTTGTAGGGGGTTGAAAATCAAATGTCTATTCAGACTTTTCCTGTAAATTTAATGAAATAAATAAATAAATATGTAATATGCTTTCCATGTGGCTACTGGTTGTAAAAAAGGGGAAGAGAGATTAATGCTGTCTTTGACAGATAAATGATTTATAATTAATGAATGTCAAAATGTTAGAAAGGTGATAATTTTGACAACTGGACTAATTTTTGAGGTTAGTGAGATTTTATGTTATTTAATAAGTTGTCCAGTTGGAATTTGAAGAACTGTTAATACAGTGTTTAAGCATTACTAAAAATACTTTCCTGCAACAAATTATTCTAATGTGTTGGGAAGTTGATAAAGGCTCAAAAAAGAAAGACATTGTAGCAAAGTTTGGAATTTCTGTGAGTAGTTTATCAACCATAATAACAAATTGGGAATCTATTTTTAAATTAGCCAATGATGTGAGACCTACAGGAAAATGTTCTAGAACCTGCACTTATGTCCATGTAGATGAAGTTAACATTAACTTTCAATGTTAACATATTTTACATTAACTTTTACAAAGTCATGTTACTTTTTAGATGTTCTAATTATAAATTTAAGCAGACATGTTGAATTTACAGGTTGTTTTACAAATCTTGGCTGGAACTGATTCTAATATTATGCTTTCTGTAAATATTAGAATCCCAATTTGGGTATGAGTATGCCATTGACCTGATATGAAATAAGTTTCTGTTAAATTTATATAAACAATGCTCTTCAATACTAATACAGCTTTATAATTCCTACTGTATATCACAGCAGGCTGATCAAGATTTGTAGAAATGTACTATTCAGTTTTATATTATCTTAAAGACAGAATACTTTATCATTTAAATCATAATGTGTAGTAAATAAGACTTTTTAATCATTTTTAAAAAGTGTTTATTTTTCACTGAATAGTTAAGAAATATTTAGATGATATTGCAAATATGCACAACCTTTTAAAGTAAAAAAAAGTCATATATCATTTTTGTAGCATATTAAGCAAGGGGAAGTGATATGGACAAAATTCAGGATTAGAAAAATTGTTTCTAGGAAATTCAGATATTGCAATAAATTAAAATAGCAAATAAAAGACATTATAAAGATTTTATTATTATTTTTTGTAAATATTTTTTGGAAATGATAGTTTATGATGATGATGATGCTTTAAAAGTAGAGGGAAAAAAGAATGATATTTAGCAAATTTTAAAACGTCTATCTGTAGAATTTGCAAATTTGTATAAGTAGGTTAAAACTAAAAATTACTCTGAATATTTATTTTTGTCATTCTGAATCAATATCAGTAACTTAACAATAAAAAATTACTTGTTACAACTAATTTAAATTGTTTTTTTGTTTTATAGGAAGAATATTTAGGTTATGTTGCAAGATTAATTATTCATGCACGAGAAATGAGTAAGTGAATGTATATTAAAATATTTTGGAATTTAAATTTTCTACATAACAATAAAACAATCATTGATTACTTATAAATAACCTATCATATTATAAATAACATGATTTATTGCATATAAATCTTGTTAGATACTGAATTTGGAATTGGATAAATATTGGTGCAAATTCTGTTTTAATTTCAGATCCAAATGTATTTTAGCTACATTAGAATCTTTCATTTCAATTCATAATTTTATATTTTAATATTGTTTCTCTTATTAATGAAGTTTTTTGTTTTATTGATCTACAAAATACCATGCATGCTACTTATTACGATTAATTTAAGTTGTAGTTTAAAACAAAAAACAATACTAGAATAAAGGTGAAAGAAAGTCAAGTGATCATTAAGTTGCACTACATTGTGTTGAATAAGCAGTAAAAAAAAAAAACAATATCGAAGTGATAATATTAATTAAACTAAGGTTCAGTAATGTTTGTTGATATGAAATAATGCATATTGTAATAGTCTTTCAGTGTTATGAACTTCAAAGAAAGATAGCAAAGTTTGTTGAATAAAACATAAAAATAACATTAGTGTTAACTTCCAAAAAAATAACATTAAATTTTCTTAATGTGATTAGAATAAACTAGTGGAATGAGAACAATAAGTAGGTTTTTTTTGGCTTTTATTCTTTTTGTTTCATTACTTTATTGTAATTATGTGATGATGATACTGTAATATTGTTGAAAGTATTAAGAGAAAAATATATACAGTAGAAATTCAATTTAACATTCTCCAATTTGACATATTTTACATTTAATGTATTTTTTCACTTTTTATCTACAAATCTTAAAGCTGAGGATTGCTTTATTTTTCGATAATGTTGATATTGTTGAAGATGAGAAAGAAAACTTTCTACACACTTTGATGTTTTTAGCATCATGGTTCCTTCTAATCTTCATAAACCATAATATTAACATAATTGTATTTAATGCTGTTTAATTTTGCATATTTTTGGGATTTAATGCATTGAAAACTCAATTCCTAGATGAATTTTCATCTCAAATAACTTTTTAAAAAAATAGAAATGGGCTGTATTTTATATTTGAATGGTCAGGAGTATTACAAAAGTTCAACAAATTATCAGTCATTTTGCCATCTTGTGAGAGACGACACCACATTTTATTATTTTAACATCTTGGTAGCTATTGGTAGACTCTGAGATTTTATAGCAAGTAAAGTAAAGCAGTATTATGTCAGTTGTCATAATTCACTATAGATTTTGTGGTCCAGATACAGTATTCCTATGCAGCTGCAAACCCATAAATTGTGGCAATAAGTAAAAAATTCAAAAGGAAGTAAAGTCAAACTTGACTATAACAAGCATTAGGGGACTGGCAAGATTTTCTTGTCATAACCGTTACTCGTTACATTCATGAAGAGCAGTGTTGTAACTAGGGGAAGAATTGGCGGCTACTCTGGATGCAATTACATTGGGAATTACCATGGATGGTAAAATTTGTAGCTACACACACCACTGATGATTAGTAAAATTTATCTTTTAATTTTTTATTCTAAGTAAGTTGATTCAAAATAAATAAATATGTAAATACATTATATAACTATTAATAAAAATATAGTATAAACTACAATATAAATAATAATAATAATTTACTTTTTCATAATTAAAGATAATACTAATTACTGTAATACAGTCGACCCCCCTATAACGTACGTTCCTATAACGGAAATTCCTATAACGTAGCGAAAAAATTGTAGCAACTTTCGTATAACGTACCTTCTATAACGTTGTTTCGCGAGAAGATTGATAGAGTCTGGACCAATAGTGGATGAGCAGCCGAACTACTTTCCTCCGACCCTGCGCCACACTACGGAGCGGCTAAATTGAGTTTGCTATCGTCTGTTTAGTATTATATATAAATTAGGTACTGTACATATAATTATATATTAATTATATATAAATTAGGTACTGTATATATAATTATATATTAACTTAATTTATTGTAACTTTATTATAATTATATATATGCTTTCTGCCGCCTGGCAACACGCTACGGAGATTTTAGGCTAGTAAGTTGAGTTTATTATCGTCTGCACAGTATGTAAATTAGGTACCGTAAGTCTAATACAGCACTAATTTTATACATTTCTTGTGAAAGAAACACTTCTTATTCAACG